TATATATATATATATATTCGTCAATAACTGTTCAATGCATTTTATTGAATAGTAGATTTAAAAAAATAAACTAATAATTGCCAATACATTAAATTCTGTATTAATTTTCCATAAACAACTCAAGATCTTCAAGTTGAATCTTTAGAACAAAACTCGGAGGAATGCTTTTAAAAGACAAAAATAGAATAAAACTTACTTTTGAAAAGAATACAATATAGAATTCAAAAATAGAAAAAAAACTAATCTATTAACAAACAAAAAAAACTCTTAATAAAGTTTATCTTAACAAATAATCCCTCTCAGTTTATGTTTAATAAATTAAACTCAAATGCTCCTCCTGTAAATAATTCTGTGTTTTACAGTTTTGCTTACAGCAGTATATATATATTTTATGTTTTTCTGTGCCTCATGTTTTTTTCCTTATATTTCTCTACGTTTTTGATGTCTTCTTCTTACAGAAATAAAACTTTCTTATATTCTATGATAAGCAAAAATGACATAACTTAGCCTTTTTATATATTTCATTTAAGCTAATAAATATAGAAAAATGTCATGTGTTAAAAATATGAAAAAAAGTTAAAGAGAGAATACTTAAGTACTATGTCAAACCTCAAGAAGTGTTTGAATCAGAATGCAAATAAAGTCTCATTTATTGAATTGGAATACAAATATAAAATCGTATAAGCAATGAAAATGGTTGATAACTGTTCAATCATTTTAATAAAATCAAATATTTACGAACGTATAAAATTTAGCATTTATTTTCAAAAAATAACTCAAAATTCTCAAGTTAAATCTTTAGAACAAAAATAAAAAGAATAATTGAAGAAAAATAATAGAACAAAGCAGACTCTTAAATGAGAATTGAATTTAGGATTTGAAAATAGAAAAAATAATGTAAGAAAAATAATGGAATAAAACATACTTTTAAATAAGAATAATGCAAAGAATTTGAAAATAGAAAAACTTAAGAAAAATAATAGAATAAAACATACATTTATATGAAAATCTGAAAATCGAAAAAATAATTTAAGAAAAATAATGGAATAAAATATACTTTTAAATAAGAATAGAATATAGAATTTGAAAGTGAAAAAAAATTATTTGTAAACACACACAAATTTTTTTTTAATAAGGGTTATCTTTTATAGAGATTTACGAGTCATAAATCAAATTCAAAGCTCTTTCTGTAACTAATTCTGTTTCTTATCGTTTTGCTTTCAGCTGGTCCAAGAAGTGAACCAGAATAACACGCATGTTAAGCACCGTAATTTATGAAACCAAAGAGAAAGAAGCATTATGAATGATAATACTGTACGTGATCTTGAGTAAAATGGTTTCTCAATGTTTTATTTTCAAAAGTTCTCTAGAAAAGACTTATAGAGTAATAATTAACAAATGAGAAAAATGTAATTGGGCCCATTAATTTAGTTTTGCCCAAAATAGCAAAAAATCTATACAAATTAGCTTTTTGCATTTACATAAAAGTTATTCTATTTAATAGTAAAACCATATTCGAAATTGCGAAATTACTTTTCACTTTAATGGCTTTTTAAAAATTGTGCTTTAGAACATCAATATAGTAATTATGAATGATAGAAAAGTATTGGGGAGGGAAACAGTTAAAATTTACTGTATTTTATAATGCACAAAGACATAAATAGTCAACATGTCTGATTATCATTCCAAAAAGTTACAAGGTAGATGCTTCCGAATTCATTTTGCTAAGTCCCAAACTAAACGTTAATTTAAAAACAAAGTTACATTTACTAACGCTTAAAACATTTATCTGTCCTTTTATCTGCCTTTTATCTGTAAAATTTGTCCGTACCCCGTTCTATGACTTTCGTTGCATTTCATATTGTTTATCACTTTTAAAAAAAAAATTATTAAGTTTTTTTAAATATATTTATAGCGTGCCATCGAAAAATTGGCAGATAAATTTTATGATCAAAATCAATAACAAGCCAAAATAAACCATAACGATAGAATACGCAACCTAAAAAATGTAACTATAGATAGAATTTGTTGGACTGCAAAATATTAATTGCTTTAAATCAAAAATTTTAAAGCAAAAGCTGAATAAAAATTATATACACTTCCCCTCAGCAAGGCAATAAAGTATTAAAATGTACGAAATTTTGCAGTCACTAAACTTTCACAAATCTACATATTATTGTTAAACTTCATATTTACTATTAAACCATGTATCGATAAATAAACTATACAATTATTAACTTATGCAATAATTCTAATGGTTTAAATAAGGCATACAATAATTATTAAACCATATATTAATTCCAAGTCCATATAACTACTAATAACTTAAACGTTAACATCAACCAACCGCACTTCTCTTTCTACCATTATCTACACGAGCAAGTTCACGATTTTAGCTCTCCGTGTACACTTGAGTTATTTCCTAATTTTGCAAAACACAGTTCTTTACAGTTAAATTATTCAAATAAGCTTTGAGCTTTTGAAGATTTAACAGCACGTATGATAAGATTACAAAATTCTAGAAGGTTAAATAAATCTTTTATAAGCTTTTGAATTAAATTTGAAGTTTAAAATACTAGATAAGCTTAAGTAAAACTCTTTCAATTTAAATTTTGTAACTGGAAAATTAAAAAGCTTATTGATTTAATTATCACTATGCGACGTGCCAATTCATGTCAAGTTATATTTTTACACGAAATGTTTTGCCAATGGATAATATATAGTTCAATGCCAATTCAAATATCATATTTGTTGTAAGAGATCAGCATTGATATCTTTTGAAGAAAGGAATGATGTTATATTTGATTCAAACGTAGAAAATCACACCAAATTCCATCCATCCTAAGCTTTTTTGCAAAAATCAAAAGTTTCACCTTTTCAGCAAAACATACATAAAACCTAATTTTTTCATAAATTTCTAAAATCTACACCATACACATTGTTGAGCCATAATGTAAGTGTTTTGAACATTAATAAGATGAAAATCTGCTACGTTTTAGTTGAGCCATTTTATTATGTAATCAATATTACGATGTATGATAACATGGTTCAGTTAAAATTCAGACTATGGTTTTCGCAAACTTGGATGATATTATGGTTCATCAATCCCAAAAATTTTCTAATCCTACAGAAAGAGAGTATAAATTTATATGTTTAAATTTTAATTTGTTAAATATGTATGAAGCTCGGCCAAAGGATACGTGCTCTTTGTTCGCCAAGGTATGAAGTATGTTTAAATTTTAATATGTTTAATTTGTTATGTTAAATTTAATTTGCTATTTGTTAAGTTTTTTTCCAGCTTTCTCGAATAATCTTAGTTATTTTAGTAAATAACTTATAACTGTGGAAGTTGTTTGAAACAAGAGTATTTTTGTGCTTCTTTTACTTTTATTTATTTATAAAAAGCATGAAAAATCGTTGAAATAACAAAAAGAATTTGCACAAAAAATCGTTTAAATATCTTGAATACTAATCAGTTAATTGCTGATTAGTTTTCTCAACAAAAAATTTTTAATAAGGTTTTTCACAGTTTTCCATATACGCTTTTAAATTTTTTAACTTTTTATGATTTAAAACTCTTCTCCCAGAAACTGCATTACATGCAGCTAAAAAAAAAATTTAAAAATGCAGATATATCCCTTTATCTCACGTGCTTTTATAATTCTACTATGTCAATTTGCATTGCGTGCAACTATTATACAAGTAATATTTCAAGTAACTTTGCTTAAAATATTTCATAATTCTACTATCTCAAATAACTAATAAATTAATGCAATGAATTAACTTATAAGTTGTGTCAGCTTTTGAAGTTTTTTAATTCTTCAATTTCAAATTGCATTATCATATTTCCAATACATACTCCCAGCTTTTAAAGCTATATAATATCTATATAACCACAAACTACATTACGTACAACTGATGCAATTATTCCTTTGATATTATTCCTTTGATATTATTCCCAATATCAAGATAATAATATCAAACCATGTTAGATTTAATTAATANATTAAAAAATTTAAATGTTAGCCTAAAATTTCGGCGCATAATTGAAAAATTGACTTTTAGAGCGACGCATAAACGAAGGATGCTTATCATTATTTTCCTATCTAATGTACTGGGACCTATAAAAATCGTCGTATAAATGAAAAAGGTGCGTAAAAGAGGTGGTGCATAAGTGAGAGGTCACTGTAACTTATATGTTGTGTCAGCTTTTGAAGTTTTTTAATTCTTCAATTTCAAATTGTATTATCATATTTCCAATACATACTCCCAGCTTTTAAAGCTATATAATATCTATATAACCACAAACTACATTACGTACAACTGATGCAATTATTCCTTTGATATTATTCCTTTGATATTATTCCCAATATCAAGATAATAATATCAAACCATGTTAGATTTAATTAATACAATCTCCATAATACCTGCCACAATATATACCTTAAGATATGTAGAGTTCTTGAATCCAATCGACTCAATGAAAGTCTTCTTACATCCAGGCATCTAAGCTTTTCTAGCCCTTTGAAACTATCAAAATGTAAAAAAGAAATTGGATTATTTGAAATATCCAAATCGTCTAGACATCCCATAGATATCCATAGGTGCGTTGGTATCTCTTGCAAGAAATTGCCACTCACATCTAAGCACCTCAGTTGTCGCAGATCCTTAACAGTAGGTTGAGATATATTATAGAAAAAGTTATCTCTTAGCGACAGTGCGGTGAGATATGGCAAAGGTAAAAAAGGCAAGTTCATCAAACTGCAGTTTCGCAAGTTTAGCAATCGAAGATTGGCAACAAACGTGAAAGACATGTCTTCGACTCTTTCCTTCAGTTCGTTGTGAGACAAGTCCAACTCAAGAAGGTGGACCAATCCGTGAAGGGATCGCTCACTGACATGAGTAATCCTATTGGAAGACAAGTTTAAGGCTTGAATCCTGTTTGGTAATGTAATTACGTTGTTCGGCATTATGGTAATGATGTTAAAGGACAAATCAATAGATGTCAACGAGTTTTTTGCTGAATTTATTCCAGAAGATTCGAAAGATTTGATGTAATTCCTTGATAAATTAAGCCTCTCCAGGGAAATTCCTGAAAAAACATTTTCAGAAAGAGATAGTAATTTGTTATGACTCATATCTAATACACGTAAGCTCTTCATGTTAATGAAAGTTTCTTTTTTGAGAAGCGAAATTCTGTTGTGATCCAAATGTAAAATTTGGAGTTTCGGGCAGCTTTTGTGAAATGCGAACTCAATCAGAAGAAGGTGATTATGTGATAGATGTAAAATTTGCAATTCTGGAAGGGGTCCTAATTGCAAATGAGAGATCTGATTGTGCGACAAAAATAAAAGAGTTAAGAAATTCGAAACAGGTTCAAAAAACGTTCTTGAGACATTTGAAATTTTATTATACGTCAAATCCAAAGTACGTGTTTTTAAAATTTGTAAAGTTCTGTTTTGAGGTCTTAAAGTTTGAATGAAATTATTAGATGCATTTATAGTTAAATAGGCAGAAGCACCTTCAATTATATCAAATGAAAATGATTCTAAATAATTGTCTTGGATATATAAGTTAGAAAGTCTTGTAATATTTGCGAAAGCCGAAACATTGATGGAATATATGTTATTGCCAGAAAGGACTATGGTATGTAAACTGGAGCAGTTTTTAAACGAATTTGTTTCTACAGTTGAGATGGCATTACCTATTAAAGATATTCTAGAAGTATGTTCAAGATTGGCAAACGTTTCAGATTTGATAATACTTATTTTGTTGTTAATTAAATGAATAGAAATAATTGTATGTCGAGAATTAACAAGAATACCTTTAGGAATTTCCGGTATGTTGTTGTTACTTAATTCAAGATGTTTTAATCTTTTTGATGATTTTGAACAAAAAGAACTAATTTTTGACAAATTATTATTGTCTAGTAGCAACCATTCAACTCGCTCTAAATCAGCAGTTATGGCGTCTGGGTTTTGAAAACTATAATCAAAAGCAGAACTTAATTCTAAAACTTCTAATGTCTTTCTAAGCGGATATAAAGCATTCTTATCAAAGTATATAATGTTGTTAAAAGATAAATTCAACTCTCTGAGTTTCACTAAATGGACAAACACCTCTTCTTTTATACTCGTGAGTTTGTTACTCGCCAAACTTAATGTAGTTAGGTTCTTACCCCATTCACCAAAGTCTTTTTGATCGATCTTGGCGATAAAATTATCTTGTAGGCTTAAACGAATAAGGTTCCTTTGATGCTCTAACGCAGCCTTTGGAATGAAAGACAGAGCATTACCTGATAAATCTAGCACTTCTAAAGTTTTTCTACATCCCTGCAAATCTTCTTTGCCCAGTTCTTTCAAATAGTTCTCTTTCAAAGACAAATGTACGAGTGATTTGAGATCATTAAGTGCTGGAGGAAATTCTTCCAGTAAATTAAAACTTAGATCTAAATGAGTAAGTGACACTTCTATACCTGAAAACGAATCGGAATGAATATGTGACAGCCTATTATTGGCTAGAGACAAACGTTCAAGTTTTGTTTTCTTAAAACTTCTGGCCGAAAGAGATCTTAAGAAATTAAACTCAAGAGTTAACTCTCTGATGGGGAAAGAACCATTGAAAACACAATCTGGCATGTATTCTATCAAGTTGTTCGATAAATCTAGTTTCTCTAGCTTTGCAGTCCACATTACAAATGGGCATGGCAATCTTTTCAGCAAATTACCAGATAAGTAAAGAAATTTCAAATTTCTAAGTTTGTAAATAGCATGAAGAGGCACTTTCTTGAGAATGTTATTAGATAACGACAAAGAAGACAGTGAAACTGGCAAAGAATTAACGTCTACATCATAAATGTAATTCCCATCTAAATTAAGTATGGTTAGGTTGCTCAGCTCTGTAAGGACACTTTCTTTTATAATGCTGATGTGATTTCCACCTAAGAATAAACTGTTTAAAATTGGTTTGAAGGTCATTTCTGACCACTTGAAATCATGATAATTATCTATTGAATTTCCTTGCAAATTTAACCATTGCATGTTTTTCAGTGGACGCAAAGCTTCGTAAGGCACACGGTTTAGATGATTATAGCTAAGATCCAATGTGGATAGCAAACTTTCTAAACCAACGAATGCATTTGGCGAAATATGTACGATATTGTTATACATCAAATGCAAAGAGGCAACGTTTGTTCCTAGAAATTGGTTTCCTTCTAAAGTTGAAATTCCTGATCGAATGATTGTAACCTAAAAATTAAAAAAATAGCATTATTATATTTGAATTTCTTAACAAGATTGAAAAATGTGAGATTTCGAATATTATGTAACACAAGGAGCGAAATTTCCTCTCGCTTGGTATTGGCGACTAAATATTTGGGGCTGGCGTGTAAGTTTAGTCGTGCAAATTAATATACTTTGGACAACTATACTTAAATTTCCCTTGAGTTTGCTGTAAATAACTATTGAACAAGAATTTCAGACTTAAAGCGGATGATTCGTAGTGCATGCGCAAAAATATAGATTCCAGACAGAAAAAACAGAAATCTACCCAGAGGAAAAACATTATGGACAAAGCTAACAGAATATAGTAAAATTTACTGGCTCTATGGGAACATTAAAATCTCGGTACTTTTTTCCGTAACCCCTTGGTAATGATTTAATAAAATTAGCAATAAAATATAGGGGTTTGTTTACCATATAAATTATTTTTTTACTATATGTTTGGAAGTCTATGAGGTAAAATTTGGTAACATTTGGTGCTTCAACATAATACCTTAGAGCATGGTATGAAAAAATTTATTAGGTTAAATTGCTTTTCAGTTTTGTAATTATTACTAAATGTATGGTATTATTACCAAATGTGGTGGAGCCACTTGTTGGAAGAGTAACAGTTCTTCTCCTTTTCCTTCAAAGATTGAACGAAAATACAGGCTTTAAAATAAATAAATTGAAGCATGCAAGTTATTACTATTATTTGCAAGTATTTTTACTGTAGTAAATTGTTGGCCATGAGAAAGATCCAGAACTATAATTTTAGAAACCAGAATTTTCAGACTGGCATTTTAGAAACCAGAAGACTGTTGCTATACGAATGGGAAAAATTACCAAATAAATTATTTAAATACCATATATTTTAGTTTTATTAGCCAGAATTACAGTTTTTTTTACCAAAAATGTCATTACCAAACAGTACGGTTACTTTATCGGAATTTTTTTTTCGCAGTTTTCATCAGATGTGTTAATATCTGAGCATGTTTTCAATACCTTGGTTTTCCACACAAAGAAACGATTCTTGAATTTGAGTTAGAGGATACAAAAAAACTATTCATGTAATTCAAACCAAATCTCTTTAATGAACGCTGTGTTGTCAGAGTGGGCAGAATTCGTGTTTAAATTCGCTTCACTGATATTAGTTCAGATGCTTGAGAAGTTAACAGTGAAAAGTGTTCAACGAGTTTCCCAAATTTCCTCCAGATTATGAAATTTTCTTCTATTTTACAGTTTTCAGTTTCAACATTCTTTTGTGGTTGTTGCCACAGAAAATATCTTTAAAATACATCGGTTAAAATTTTAAAAATTGTTTAAATTTTTCGTAAATCGTTAAATTTTTCGTATGTTCAACAAATTGCAAAAAAAGAAGGTTAAAACATTTTTCCTTAGAAAATAAATAATACTTGTTACTAGTTCCTATTGAAGGCGTGATGAACATTAATATTTCTACTTACACGGTGAAAAAATTCCAGTGAAATTACTATTGTATGGTCATGACATTTTTGGTAAAAACATAATTGTGGTTAATAAAACCAAACTATATGGTATGTAAACTATTCCTTTGGTAATTTTTCCTTTCATTTACAATGGTCTACTGGAAATTTTGGTTTCAGAAATTATAGTTCTTAATACTGAACATTTTGTAAAAAATGCAAAAGTAAATAGTAAATTTAACCGAATAAATGATTTTTGTGCCATGTTCTAAAGTAACATGATAAAAGTAATCATGATACTTTAAAAAAAATATCATGATTTATTAAATCTTATCACACTTACCAATTATTATCACGTATTACAAAACCATATTTTATCGTTAATTTTACCACAATCATCAAAGCAATTCGATAAAAACTACCGATTTTTTGTCGTTTCCGTGCATCTAGAAACACGGTAAATTTTACTATGTTATGGAAGTTTTGACTATGTAATTTTTCTCAGTTTAAGATATAAATATTACTATATTTAATTATATAAATATTACCGATACATACTTACAAGTTATGAATTATTGTCCCATACATACAAATATGCAATGCATAATACAATGCGTAACAATTCATCGTAACTTGGTAACCTGTTATACTTTAAAAATGGTAAAGAAATTCATAAAAAAATCAAAATAATGTTCCTTGAGTAGCTCGAAAAAACTTTACAAATTCAAAGTTAAGTCTTATACTATAGTTAGTAGTATAAGTATTATAGTTTTTTCGCATCAATACAAAATAAAGCAATTACAAAATTAAGTAAAGCAATTTTTAATATAAAGAAAAAGTTTCATATCAGTGACTCATTTTGTTACAGAGGGCCTACAAAATATTTCTTGTACGAAATACTAGCGTAAAATATGATAATATGCGGAGAAGAAAATTTAGTCAAAATTACCTGAATATGGTATAATTTACCGTACTATGGGAACAGCAAAAAGCTAAAAGCTCGGTAATTTTTTCTGAAGCACTTTGGTAATGAGTAAAAAAAATTAACAATAATATATGATTTTATTTATAGGTGAGAAAATTTGGTAAGATTATGACGTAATAACTATTTATTCAGATAAATTTACTTTTCAGTTTTGTATTTTTTACTTAAATGTGTGGTAATAAAAACTGTAATTTTCAAAACTAGAACTTCTGATGAACCATTACTTTAGGAACGGAAGGATTACCAAATGAATGGTTTAAATACCGTCTATTTTGGTTTTTAATTCCAGAATTACGGGGAGAGGCTTTATTTCCTAATAAAAAGGTCCTTTACAGTACGGTTTTTTTCACCAGAACTTTTTTCTAGGTATACTTTTATGCAATATAACAATCTCAATTTCAACAATGAAAATTATATAAACATCATAGTTCTTAAAAATTAGTGTTTAATTTCCTTTCGGGAATAATTAGCTTTACCTACCATGCTATTTGAATACGACTCCTTTATTATTTAATATAACTTATTAAATATGTAATAACTCTATGGCTACATCTGTTTGGTCAAAGCAGGGTTCATCTTTTCTGAAGTACCGGAGATAATTTTCCATGAGATTTACATAAATGTTTTACTAAAATTGGAATCTCTAGCAATTCCTTCCTTAAATCTCTCGAAATTCCATTTCAATTGAATTTCGAATCTCTGGGGGCACATTCTTGTCCGAGAACAGTGTTTTCGGCTTTCTGGAAAGATTCTCTTACAGTTTGAAACCAATAGACTGGAATAGTTCCCTGTTGTACTATCTCTAAACTTAGAACTGTGAAAAGATTCTGTTTGTAAAAGTAGTAGATTTGAACGAAAGTCTATTAATTTCAGTTTAGATCATTTGAACAGTGACGAGATAAGGTTTATATAATAATAAATATATTCTTTCCAAATCTCTAGTAAATATATCTCTTTGAAATATGTAATAAGTACATTCCTTTTAAATATGTAATAATAAGTGCATTTATTTTAATAATGTAATAAGTATATTCATGTTGAATAAAGAGGGTAAAACTATACCATGTAGAATTGTTAAAAAAAATTACTTTTATTCTAAAACTATATTAGGATAGAGCAAGCAGAGCATTTGCCCAAGGCTAACCCTTTCTATGAACCTAGGAGTCTCAAAACCAGTGATACTCAGTTTTTTAAAAATAATTTTAAAAATATTAATTTTTTAAAATAGTTATATTTAGTATTGAAAATGTGAAAACTGGGATTTTTATTCCAGCACATAGATGAGATAGAGAAGAAGACATTTACTATTTTTAGTAGCCCTTCACAGAAATATTTCATATAAATCAAAATTGTAGATATTAAAAAATAAATTGTAAATATGTTTCGATGAGTATTTTAGTGGGACATTTAGACGCACTTTTAAGGGTTCCTAATATTGTGCACATGAAATTTAAAAATTAACGATATAACAGAAAATCTGAAGAAGAAAAAGAGTAAAAACATCCAGTTGTTCGTTTTTAAGAAGAAAATTACAAAAAAATTGAAAAAGAAATCCTGCGTATTTGGGTAATATTAACGAAAATCTGGAATCATAAGAGATTCGTTTTCCTAAAAATGCCATTGAAGGAGAAAATTAAAAGGGCCCTGCTTTGTTTGTATTAAAAAGTTAAAAATGCAAAAGCATTTTGATAAAAATTAAAGGCATTTACTTAAAATTAAAAGCAAAAGTATTATAATAAAAAGGACTATCGAAAAAAGGAACTCTAGAATATCAAACTAAAAAGCTATTTATAAAACAAAATCTAGTTAAAAGGAACAAATGCTATCATTATCTTTATAACGTTTTTTCCCAACAAAAACGCAATTTATACAGATACCTTGGTTATCAAATTAATTCTTTTATGTTAAATTTCAAAATAGTTTTTTTAAAACTTACCTTATATATATCGGCTCTTCTCATCTGTGGAAATATGGAAAAAGGAACCGATCTGCAAACAACTTCGTGATGAGCTTTCCGACAGGTGCACAACGGGTTAAAATCACATGGTTCAACTTTTGTTGCAGTAGAGTTAAAACTTAGCACAGTCGCCAGAAATAAGAGGAAGATTATCATCTAAAAATGGAAAGAAAGTATTCTTTTGTAAAAAAAATTATTAATACGCATCATTATCGTGTTCATTAAAAAATCATAAATGCCTATGACTGTCGTTTAATATGAAAGGAGTTAAAAATGTTGAATAAAAATGTTAAATCATTTATAACAACATAATCGAAGTTAGGGGAATATTATACCATAGCTAAAAGTTTATACTTATTATAAAACCAGGCTTTTCAAACATCGAAAATTTATGAAAGTTAATACAATTTACGTAAAGTTATATTAATTATTTAATTGCAGAATTGATTACATATTAATTACAGATTTCCTCACTTTGCAATTATTTTATTTTATTTTAAAACCAGCAGAGAATAGCTGACCCAATCCTTAGTTTGCGACTATCAATGATCAACTCAATAGCTTTTTGATTTTAAACCCAACCCAGTAGACAAGAGAGCTCCTGGATCAAGCATTGAGGTTAACTAGCCTTCGTAGAGGACTTTTTGGTGGAACTAACCCGCATTTGCGTTATATGGAGAGATAAACCATGAAATCTTTGCGCGGTTAGCTAGAGGGCAGGAGGATTCTAACCCATGATCAGTCAACTACTGAGGATATTTTACATCAGAACTGTGGTTGATAATTTTGCAATTTATGAGCAAACTAATTTATTCAGCTTATATCTTTTAATGCACTCTTCACTAACAAAGTAGCCATTGATTGAGTACTTTATGGGTAATTTTCTAATGGAAAACATTTTTTCTTATTTTTTTTCTCTTTTATTATAAATTCTTTTCTTATATTTTCTGTGCTATTCATAATGTCTATACAAGGTGATTCAGTTTAATGAGTATAAACGTTGAAGGGAAATAGGGCTACAACCTAAGAATTGAAAATTAAATAGAAGTCTATAACTAAAATGTCATCGTTTGTTAGAGCTTTGTCTTCATTATGTACTCGATGCTCGTACACGCTTTGAACGGAACTTTTATTCATCTAAATTACCTCCTTTATAGTGATTTTAACTTTTTCTCACTTTTTTTTTAAGCATTTATTCACAAAAATTGAATTTAATAGCCTGGAATAAGTTATTTTATCGTTCATTAAATATATGGTGACAAACTCAGTTGCTCACCAAATTAATTGCCAAATCATTAAATTGTGATAAAACAAGTATTTCTAAGTCTATTTGAATGGAGGTTTTGAAATTAATTGTTTAAAAAGTAAAATTAGCGCAAAATAAGAAAATTTAGATCAAATAAAAGTATAATTTTAAATGCGCATGAACAGCCAGTCATTAATGGAAAGACTTTCGGCTTAAGATCACATTTTCAACCCGCAATTGCTTTGCTATTCTCTATCCTTATGAATCCTTCCTTCCAGGTTTATAACCACTGTACTGAATAAGCCTGTTTAAAGATTTTAAAACTGAAAACAGATTAAGCAAACTGAAATGTTCATTACTAAAAATTTAAAGAAAACAAGGTGTTAACACTTTGACGTCGGATTTTCATTAAACATATTTTTTGTACATTTTGTTATGTTTGTTTTGTTACAGCATGAAACACCGGTGTTTTTTTCTGCTTTAAAGTTAAAATCTTCCAAATACGGCTCACTTCCCAAAAGTAATTTTTCAAATTTGCCCTCATTCGAAGTTACTGAGATCTAAAAGAAGGAGTTATGCATCATTGCCGCGTATGTTGACATTTCTGATCATCGGTTCCTATGCATTTGCCCTGAACCCCCTAAAAGTTTGTGGCTATATTCACTTAACTCCATTTAATGTATAACGTTTTTAAACTTGTATATTTAAACAAAAAAATAGACAAAAAATGTTTTTTTTAAAGAGTAGATTTAGAATCGAAATTAATTTCAGATTTGAATTCCCCACACTCGAAATAGTCTAGCTTACGCATTTGTATAAATGCAACAAAAAATGAGTTCCTTAGTGCTATCTGTAGGCGTAAAAGTTCTTGACTGTTTGTATCTCTATATATATTTCTCTTACACGGCGACAAAAAAAAGCCTCATTACAACTCCCCGAATGGCAACGCTAGAAAATCGACCAATGATTGCCGCTAAAAATGTCACATGTCAAATCTAGCTAAGGTGACTCAACATATAGCGCTTTTAAAAACGGAAACGGAAATAACCTGAGAGAGCATCAGCTGCGGCAATNACATTTCTGATAGGTTTAACGAATTACATGTCATTTATTTGAATTCAAATTTATTTTAATGACTTAGTATTTACTAAAAAGATGTAATTTTTTTTTAAAAAAAAGTTGTTATATGGATTTGAATGATTGTTTTGAATTCTTAGAATTTTGTGCATTTGCAATGTACCTAAGTTAGTAGCGAGCGAAGCGAGCTTTGTTTGCGAAACAAACCATATAAGATTGCGTAGCAATTTTCGGGGATTGGCGAGCGTTAGAGAACAGGGGGCACAGCCCACTAGTTTAAAATATTTCTTGACGCATATGAACGACTTATGCGGATGGCGGATATATATCTTTTTATATCTCACAACAATACAGCATATTTTGCATCTCGAAATTTTACCCGGCACATTTATTCTCATTTTAATTCCCAGAGGATTTTGTCACGTATATGAATAGCGTTATTTGACTGAGATTTATTATTGAAATAACCAAGGGATTTGCGGATTTCACTAAAGTAAATCAATATTTCGCATTTATAACACGGAAATAGTTTCTCTGCATACAATTTTATTAAAAAAAATTTTCTTCGTATAAAAGAGAGATATCTTTTGAAAGTTACTAAAATGAGTTTGTTTGTATTATCTAGAAAAGGAGAGATTATCAAAATTTGGAAATTAATAAAGATATTGCGTATCAACTTTGAGTATGCAAAATAATGACTTTAAGGAAAGAACACATCTTGTTTGATATTTTTCCTTTCATTCGGTATTGTAAAAAAGGAATTTACGCTCAGATTTTCTTTTTCTGTGGTGAAATATATTTGTCAGAAATAAAATATTTGGACCATGTTTTTTTTCTTGAATTTTTTTCTCTATAATTTTAAAATTTTTATGGGGGGGGGGGTTTGTAAGCAATCACCATTGTAGGAGATTGATAACTGGAATGACGAAACTAGAGTAAAGACACTCGAAAATAGAGTGACGAAATAAGCCGACCAGTAGTTCGTTAAGGAGTTAGCCTCGAATCTGGAAGACCCGTGGTTCGAATCCCGCTTCTGGCATGGGTGTAGTTTATCTCTCTGTTCTATATGTGCCTTGTTGTGTTGCTGTACTACACGGTGCCGACGTTAAAGTGATTAGTAGAGAAGTTAGATAAATTAATCACTACAAGAGCTCTTTTTTTTGGGAAAAATAGAATGAAGAAATATTTCTTCAGTTTTGACGAAATTCGTTTCCAAGAAGTGGCGATAGTTATTTCGTCATTTTGACGAAATTTTAGCTCTGAGCATATAGCAGGAAACGGTTTCGTCAAAAACGAAGAAAATTTCGTGATACTTGAGTATCCATTTTTTACAGTGTATTCTTTTAATAACCTATGAGGGAAGTTTTTTATTTTTCATCTTTGGAACAAAATCAGAGAAAATGTTTCATGAAAATTTAAATAAAATTAAAATTTAATTTAGACTCAGATTTACGAACAAGAATATCATCATTCCTGACATTTTTTATAAGTAGTTTTTACATCGCTTACCATTCAAAAAATAAAAATAATATGAATATATAATCAATCTAAATTAAAGTTTTGTTATAGTACTAATTTTTACTATTCAATAAAACCTTAGATATGAAAGAATTGTTAATTTCACTAAAATTACAAATTAAATTATCCTAGCTAGGACGAAATCGTTTCTGACACTCGTGCTAAATTTAACTTACGACTGATTTTCAAATGCAATGGCGTGATGAACAATGTCAAACTAATTGAATGGAATTCTCATTTTGATTCAAAACTTTCAAATTAAACATAGACATTCTTTGTCTGCTTTGGTATGAAAGCTAGACATTGCTGAAAATCTTCAATATGATTCTCTTTATGCATTCACTTAACGTTATTTCAATCGTCATAATTGAATTCAAAACAATTCTCATTTAATCTAACTATTCTTTCATCTTACTCGCTTTTCTTCTAAAATGTCGTTTAAATCTCGATGCTCATGTTTTTTTTCCTGAATTGTCTTTTGTACAACATAATGTAATTATTTTTGACGTTTGAAAATTTTTCATTACATCAAATAGAGATAAGTCCGATTCGAAATTATTTTTTTTCAAAAATAAAAGAGCTTTTATTAAATAATGTTATTCTTAAAACGATTTCAATTGTGAAGTTTGTTATATTTGTTTTCATTGTTTAATGTTTTCTGATGTTTTACAAAATTGTTTTTGGTATTTATTTCAAGCTGCAAATCAATTATGAGGATGCGAAAAATGTCTTTGTCTGCTTAATTGGTTCTTTTATGTTTAGTGAAAAAATTTAATATTGCGTTAGAATTGATAAATATGAATTTTTCCATTTCCATTTCTAATGACACTCAAAACCGATGTAATTAAACTAAAGAAAATTGTTATTTCCTTTTAATTAATATTTCAGACATTTATTTTAACTTTTAAATCAATTATATGGATGCAAAAAATAATGAGCACAATCGCCAATTTAATATTATCCCCATAATGTTAAAGTAGGTAGAATTTACAAATACATTATATTCTATAACTAGCTAGCCTCCAGTGACCAGCTGGTCAGCCTTTTTCATATAAGTATATTTTCAAGTATTTCGAGATTTCAAATTATACAGTCAAAAATCTTATAAAGTATAATAAACACGTATAGATTAAATGAGAGTGGATTTAATTTTGGTCATGCTCGTATGCTATCGTGGTAAATTTGTTATTAAAAGTTTTAGTAAAGCATATGCCAACATAAAAAGAAGCAAATATGCTAATTATCTCAATGATATCCTTGATGAATGATAAATCAAATTAGCCACTTAGTCAAAATTGAACTATGCATTTATTTA